CCGGCACCTGCTGCCACCCCGGGGGACACGGGGACGCGGGGGGGGACCCGCGGGTACCACGCACGAGGCGGCCCCGCGGCGGCCCCGCGCCCCGTCCCCAGCCCTGATTGTCGCTGCGTGGCCTCGCGCCGGCCCCATGTCACCGTGTCCCCGTCGCCCGAGGGCCACCGTCACCCCCGGGGCTTCTGCCGTGTCCCCGCATTGTCCCTCTGTGTCACGTCCCCATGACGTGTCCCCATGTCGTGTCCCCGCATCGTCCCTCTGCGTCACGTCCCCGTGCCGTGTCCCCGCGACGTCCCTCTGTGTCACATCCGTGCCGTGTCCCCACGCCGTGTCCCCACAGCGTCCCTCTGCGCCGCGTCCCCGTGCCATCTCCGTGCCGCCGCTCCGTGTCATCCCTCGTGCCACGTCCCCAAGCCATCTCTCTGTGCCACGTCCCCACGCCGTGTCCCCAGGCCACCTCTCCATGTCGTCCTTCGGCGCCGTGTCCCCGTGTCACATCCTGGTGCCATCTCTGTGCTGCGTCCCCGTGTCATCTCCGTGCCATCCCTCCATGCCACCTCTCTGCCGTGTCCCCACGTCGTCCCTCCGTGTCACGTCCCCACGCTGGGTCTCCGTGTTGTCCCCCGTCCCACGTCCCTGCGCCGTGTCCCCATGCCACATCCCCGTGCCATCTCCATGCCACGTGCCCACGTCGCATCCCTGTGCCGTGTCACCGTGCCACCTCCATGCCACGTGCCAATGTCACACCTCCGTGCCACGTCGCTGTGCCATCGCGTCGTCCCTCTGCGCCGTCTCTCCGTGCCACGTCCCCCGTGTCCCCGCGCGTCGTCCTCCATCCCGTCACATCCGTGTGCCACATCCCCGTGCCATCTCCATGCCCACGTCCCCATGTCACATCCCTGCGCCACGTCCCCAAGCCGTGCCCCCGTGTCACATCCCCGTGCCACATCCCTGTGCCGTGTCCCTGTGTCACGTGCCGTGTCCCCGTGCCACGTCCCCGTGCCACGTCCCGCTGTGCCGCGTCTGTGTCGCATCCCAGCGTGCCACGTCCCCGTGTCACATCCCAGCGTGCCACGTCCCTGCACTGCGTCCCCAGGTCACGTCCCCATGTCACGTCCCAGCGTGTCACATCCTCGTGTCACATTCTGGTGCCACGTCCCGGTGTCGTCCCTTGCCAGTGCCCCACAGCTGGGTCCTGTCCCCATCCCTGTCCCCGCTCGGGGACCCTGCACCGGGGTTGGGGACAGGGACAGTGGCAGCCGCAGGGGACGGCCCTGAGCTCGGAGGCTGAGGAGCTGCTGGCTCTCGGGAAACTGAGGCACGGGCCACCCAGGGGGGGACACGGAGGGGACACGGGCGTCCCCCTGCCCCAGCATTAGAAAGGGGGACAGGGACATCGGGAGGGGACACACTGGGATGCGCTCAGATGCGCCAGGAGACACTGGGACACACTGGGATGTGTTGGGACACACTGGGACGCACGAGGACACGAGGTGCCGGCTGCCACCAGCACGTGCTAGGACATACTGGGACACACTGGGGACGTGCCAGGACATACTGGGACACACTGGGGACGCCAGGACGTGCCGTCACGCATCAGGACACGCCAGGATGTCCTGGGACATGCCGTGACACGCTGGGACGCGCCGTGGCCGTCCACGTGGCTGCCGGGGCACGTGGTGGCCGTGGCGGGCGTCACGGCCACGGCGGGC